CTTAAATCTTAATATTTTTCCGAAATATTTTGGTGGACGTCTTAAAATATAACAGATTTTATAATTCCAATGGAAAAATAGTACCGATTTTTTTTTTTGTATGGGGAGTGATGCAGTCTAATATACATATGTATATCGAAAATTAGAGCTAATTTTAAGACTTGATGAAAGTGCTAAGTTCAGGGTAGTCAATGTGCAAGGAAAGCATACACATTCAATTACGTTCGGACGTTGTTGTGGCAGTGATTTCAAGAAGCGAGCGGGTCGTTGCAGCGATAGCCTAGCTTGTGGTGGTACAAGCGATGTAACCAAGGTGTCAGTGTTGAGTGAAGAGATGTTGTTGAGGGAGTTGCAGCCAAACGGAAATTCCTGATTGGAGCTGCGTGTATAACGGAGTAGCACACAAGAATTAGCATCGTCGCTGGCGACGATTTGTGACCACCGTCTCCTTGCTTTGCCTTTTTCACGTTTTATAACACCGTTGCCGTTACAGCCAAAGGTGGCGTTGGCGTTCATTCCCTTACACTTTATATTGGAGCGTACTTTTTATTAAACAGAAGCAAAAGATCGTACAAATCAAAGCAAATATGTATGCACGCATGGAGGTGAATTCTCAGGTCTCACTAAAAACTTTTTGTGAATGAACTGCAACGCAACCAACCTTAAAGAAATTGCTAACTGAATTTGTATGCATGTATGTAGATATGTGCGCATACATACATATGTACATACATACCTTTGCACGACGCTAGCGTTTTTTTGAGCGCGCTCTTACCTCGGCAGGAAATGTCATACCTTCAAGTGTATCGGTCATATCAATAGCACATCATTTAAAAGTGATATGGTTTGTCACCAATGTTTATTTATTTATTTTTTAAGAATTTTCAATTAAAATACACTGAGCCAAAAGTACAATGGCTTTTTCGACCAAGTTATTGTTTGGTTTTTTTCGTGATTAATACAGCGATTGTAAGGACTATGATCCAAATTGAAAATTTTAATACCAATTCGTATGCCTGGCTGTAGTTGAACTTGCAGAGGTGCTTGCTGTTATTTGCTGACTTCCAGCAGGTTCGAGTACGAATGTCGTCAGCGGCAACACATAATTTTTATTTTTCTGTTTTTTGAATTTTTTTTTTATTACGAAAAAGCATCTGTGAAGTGCGATACCAAATTAAACGACGAAGAAAATTGATTCAAGTTGAAAATTTAAAAACAAATTTATAAACAAATTTATAAATCGGCTGCAGCTGAGTGTGTAGAGATGCTTGCTGTTATTTGCTCATCCCGTCAAGGGAGTACTAAAATGATTATTAATTTTTTTTTGTATCTCCGAATTATGAAAAAGCATCTGTGAAGTGCAGAACATAAGCGGTCCAAACGAAAAAATCGCCTACCAAAAGTTTGGTTATTGTAAACAAAATTGTGGTTAATACTACCAAATCATTGTTGAAAATATGTTGATTCCTTTTCAAGTTTAAATTTGGTAATATTAACCAGTTCTTGGTTGATTTTGCTCTCAGTGTACAATTCATTCTCCAACAAAACCCATATAGGCCCAAGTTTAAAGCTTTGTAGAAAACTTAAAAAAAAATCAACAAATTTTCATCTAAATTTCAAACTTTTTCTCAGAAGTGTTAGAATTTTTTTAAGTATACAGTTTTATAGCCCATTCAATTTTAGTGCAGGTTTCAAGTGGCTAAAAAATATCTTTGATCTTTTAGAATTTTTTCCCCCAAAGGAGTTTTGCTATATAAAAATAAATTTTGTTTAGTTATTCGTTATATGAAAATAAATGCGGCAAAAGCCAAATCTAAAAAATCAACGGTAATTTTCAGCTACTTGAAGCATGCACATTATTGCACTAAAATTGAATGCGCTATAAAATTGTATAGTAAAAAAAAAATGAAAATTTGGATGAAAGTTTGATGAATTTTTTTAGTTTTCTACAATTTAGAGAATGAACTGCATTTTAATTGAAACTTCTTAAAAATAAATAAACAAACATTAGTGGCAAACTATATCATTTTGAAATGGGGCGCGCTATTGATATGATCGATACCGTGTGAAAGCACATACTAGGGCATTCAATCCCGAAGCATTTTAATAATCCCGGGATTTATCGGACTTTTGACTTTATGCATTTTGCAGTAAGCGCACAGTTCTTAGCAATCCAAAAATGAAACCACACAGATTCATTGTCGCCACATTTGGTCTTACGTAAAGCATCATAGTGCACCTTAGTAAAAGAGTCCGCAATTTAATCAAATTCACTTTCGAGTGCAAATGACTTAAGATCACTTTGAATCTAAATTTTATTGTTCTGTATTTTTCGTATTTCGTGAATTATTTTTTCGTGTTCACACATCACTTTCATCACCCGTTCGGAGACGGCGTAATTTATATATAGTATCCTATATTTATTTTAATTGTTTTCACGATTAGCTAATCAGAAAATATAACAAAGGAGAAATGAGGTATGATGTATAGTAAAAACCTAAAATTACATAAAAATCACCCTAAAAACTGAAATACAATGGCGGAATATACTCGGAGGCTTGCGAAAGGCGAACGGCATTGAAAAAACGCTACGAGCTACGGTGAACGTCACTTTTTCACTATTATAAACAACAAGCAATAATAAAAGTTCCCGAATTGGTTACGGTTCCACATTGCTGATATCTCTTTCCATACGTGTAATATTCTATATCATCGGTGATACTGCAAAACGGTCTATGTCAATTTGTACCTTTAATACTTAAATGGTCTCTTACTTGCACCGGAATGCATCTGCCAAAATCAGTACACCCTAAGAAACGAATGACAAAACTGTCTACCTTTGGCTCATGAAGATGAACGATTTTCCCAGAAGCGATCAGATGCAGATAACAGATCAATTAAGCACCAGAGGTAATAAGTGACATAGAACGTTTTGCAGTATCACCGACGATATACATACTTGTGTGTATACATGGACATTTGCTTAGTGGCCTAATCGTTTGTTGTTGAACTCTCCGAAGGTTTGAAGGTAGTTGTCGCAGTTGCTTTTGTTATCAGCCAATTAAGGTAAATATTCATTATGTACATACATATGTTTGTAAGTCTGTAATGGAAAAGTAGGCTCAATTATACCCTTTTTAGACCTTTTTCTTAATTGGAGTGTAAAATGCAGTATTTTTTAGGTACACTCTAATGTAGCGAAACCAATCTGAAGGACCACAGACCTTGTGTAAATATGTTCTCTCGAATGTGGGACAAACGTGATTAAATATTTGTAAAGCGTGATTTTTGTTCGTTGGAAGGGTTTCTGCTCTCGAATTGTTAAAAATGACATCTATTGGTAAGAGTTATTCTTCGTTCCGTCCCAGCCTAACCTGGGTAGTGATGTTTGTGCGGGCGTCAAAATAAACGAAGTCCTTTACAACAACCGAAGTTACGGTTGTCCCTAATAAGCGGGGTCCTTTTGTTTAAGGCTACCGCCTGACCAATCTCTTCTTTTGAAATCTGTGTCAGTATGCGTAGGTCAGAGGCATCCCGTGTATACAAATGGTTTAGAAACGTGCCAAAAGGATATTCAGTGATGCATGAGAAAAAATTGCTTTTTTAAATTTTTTCCTTGAGTGACTCGAAGGGCCTTTTTCAAATTTGATCTACGTACAACTATTTTTTCGAATTAGGTACAATTTACAATTTCCATTTTCCATCCCTGATGTACATAGTATTTAGCAGGGGTGGGCAAGGCCGAGCCCGAAAAGAGCCACATGTAAATTCTAAATGCTACAAAGAGCCACAAGAAAAAAACAAAAAAAAAATTCTAAAATTTTATTTTTAAATACATTTATTATTAGAAATAAAAAACATTAAAACATTATCATTCTAATGTACCTAAGATAGATATTAAAGGGAATTCAAAAGAGTCTTTGGCCAAATTATCAAAATCTAGTTTTACGTGGGTAAAAGCCGTTCGTAGCAACTCTGTTAAATGTTGGTTAGTCAATAGGTACGTTCCTTTAAAATATCCGGTAAAGAATGTCCAACAGCAAAGTTCCGGCGAAATGTCATCTGTTCTGTTGTAAGAGAAAAATATTCAAAATAGTACGCGAACAGAAAATTTGCAGAAACTTGCAAGTTAGAAATTTTGTTTACATACAAAAGTATAAAATCAAAAACATAAGGAAACAAATCCCGAAGTCTTATCCAGACATAGTTCACTTTGCGAGTTTAATTAGTCAAATTTTACTATTTTAACTTCCAAATCATCAAATTCAATTAATGGATTTGCGTAAATTCCAACCAGCTGTTTTTGATCAGCTGTTCTCTTGTTGGCAAACATTTCTCCAGCAGAAACTAGCAGCTTTCCCTTAAAATGAAATGTCATTTTGCCCTCTAAATTTCCCTACTTTGCAAGTTTTTTTCGTACGCGAACACAA